AGCTCTTTCAAGAGATTGTGGTATTGCGTTGTTGAACGCTCCCTCTATATCCAGAAACGCACAAACCAAGATTTCTTTATCCTGCAGCGTCCTGGATACTCTACCAACTAAGTTGTGTAGAGCCAATTCTGCTGATTTTCCCGCTTGATAAGCATACTGGTGGCGACTCAGTGGACCAGATACCAATGGCACCGTACGGATATACCGTTCCAGAACTTTTTCAAGGGTTTTCAGCAGAAATGACGTTAGGCTGATGGGTCGAAAGGCATTAGAAGTAGGGACCGAACGGCCCGCTTTGGGTATGTAAGATACCCGTACCTTAGTCCATTCTGCCGGCACATATTTCCAGGCGACACTCGCTCTGAAAATTTTTACCAAAATTGGCAACAACAAAGACCTCCCCTGCTGTAACAAAGCAGGAAAGATATTGTCTTCTCCAGGCGATTTGAACGGCTTAAACGTTTGAATTGCCTGGTCCACGGATGTGTAAGTGACGACTTTTCTAGCCACACTCCAATCCGTATTTGAGGGGCGCTTTGCCTTGCAGGAACAGCCCGCTGTGGCATTATCGGCCCTCATCATCAGGCTTCCTGGGAAGTGAGTCTGCATTAGAAGCTCCAACGAGGCTCTGCTAGAGTCCGTAAAACTACCGTCAGGCCGCCTAAGTGAGCCCAGGGGTAGTGCCGAATCTCTAGCGAGAATCTTGTGAATTCTTGCACTGCTGGGTATGTCTTTCACTCCCTCACAGAACCTCCTCCAAGACTCTCTTTTTGCCTTACGTATGTTTTTGGTGTAATTCGTTAGAACCTGTTTATATTTCTCCCATTCACCTAATGTCTTGGCCCAGTTGAAAAGCTTTCGGACCTCTTGTCTTTCGGAGCTAAGAGATTCGTTCCACCAGGGTGTGCCCCGATTACTACTTTTCACCTTCAGTGGACTGCTACTGTGATATGCAGAGCGAATTGCCACAGAGATCTGCTCCGTGGCTATTTCAACCTGACCACAGTTCCTAACGGTTGCGATAACACTAGTTAGGTTATCTGCAAGGCAACTCTTAAACAGATCCCAATTAGTGCTACGGGGATTACGGTACGTACAGTCCGATTTCATCCCTAGATCAATTTTAAATTGAATATGTCTATGATCTGAACACGACGGTTCAGAGGATACCCTCCAGGAGGTCCAAGTACTTATTCACATTTAGAATATACAGACATGTTATTTGTATATGGTTTTTGTAACGGGAATGCTACAGCTGCTGCAGATGAATATCGTCAACGGTTTCCAAATCGCAGACATCCTAATATAAACGTTTTTATTAGGGTTTTCAATAAACTGCGCGAAACCGGTACACTTCCCAGCGTTAAAGTAACATCTGAACGAGCTACGCGTCAATGTTTAAATGAAGTAGAACATGTTTTGGATCTAGTAGAAGAAGATGCAACGACCAGCTCACGCCGAATTGCTGTTCAATTAGACATCCCACAAAAGAGAGTAATAAACAGTAAGAGTTATGCAATAAAAAAAATAAAATAAAAGAAAATCGGATAACAACATATAAGTTTTTTTACATTATTTTCAAGCGTACAATATACTCCTAAAGTTTGGTCCGTTCCTCCCGACTCACCCTGTATACAGGATGACAGTCACCAAATATTGTACGATCATGTACAATATTTTTATTGAAATTTAAAAATTATTTTTATTCTACCACATTTTAGGTTGTTAATGGTTTATTTTTCTAATCTGTTTTTTGTTTTTTGTAAATTATATATCAAATCCATCAAATCATTTTATTAAAAACAACTTTTCATGGCACACTTTGTGTGGTGCATGGCACATTACACTTTGTTATCTAACATATCAAAAAATTTCACGCAAAGGCGATTTGTAGAACGGAATACTACAAATTGCCGGAGTTCAACTTTTCTTAAAATTTTAGTTTGGTTCTAGCAATAAATATTTCACAATGTATGCTTTCTTAAATCAGAAGTAGTTGAATTGTTTCATTTTATGAATTAAAAACTATGAACATTATTTTCGTTCGAATAAAAAGCATCGAAAACAATGACAAAGAATGAAAAAGTGATGATAAAGTTGTTTATCTATCATTTAAACGTCTGATGTTTTCAAACGTCATATTTATATTAATTTATTCAATATACAAGAATACTTAACATATAAAAATGGCCGATGAAACGGAAAAACACGAAGAAGAAGCGCCTCCACAACCTGCCGAAAATGAACCGGCAGAACACCACGATGGAGAAGATCAAGCTTCCATATCTAAAAAAGGAGCGGGATCTCCAGGGGGGAGTTCTCAAGGAACCATTGTAAGGTATTAAAAATTATCATTAATATTATAATTACAATTGTAACCATTTAAGAATCTCGAACCTAAAATGAATGCAAAATCTGATTTTGCGATGAAAGAGGAACACGATGATATGATAGTTCCTAATGCAAAAGATGATAAAGATGAGAAAAGCGTAAGTGCCTCAGTGGCTTTTAGATCTGATACGGATGATGCAAGCAGTCGTTACTTTTTGGAAGGTGAAGAAGCGTTCGTTGTTTCTCCAGAAGAAGCATTCGGTGTTGAGGAAATTGAAGGTAAAAACTTATTTTTAATTATTAAAATAATAACTTTAAGAACGATTAGGTGAATATGAAATGGAAGCGGAGGAATGGTATCAAGAGGCGTCGAAAAAATCTAGCGTCACAAAAGTTAAAAAGAAGAGACGAAAATCAATCGCTCCTCCTGATTTTGGTATGATGCCAGGAAGTGGAAGTGGTTTATTAGGAGCTCTAACTCAGATGCGTTCGTTTGAATCTGTTAGTGGTAAATTTTATGTTTAAAAAAAAAGTTATTTTGATTTTTAAAGCGTGCTTTTTTAAACAGATGAGGAACGTGAACAATCTGTCGCTGAAGAAGGCGAGGAAGAAGCTGTTCATAAACGTAAAAAAGATGAAGAAGAAGAAGAGGAAGAGGAAGAAATAGTTGATAGAGAACCTTATTATGATTTATATAAAGCTTTACTTGCTGAATATCCTATGATTAAAATGAAAAATAATTTTTTACAAAGGAAAATGGCTGAATATTTTAAAAAGAGAAAGGTTCAATTGAAATATGTATTTTAAATATTTTAATCGTAATCTTTTCTTTTGTAAATCAAGATGGAACATGTTCTTAGAGAGGGAGATCACGTTGAAGAAGCCGAACAAAAATATTTCGCCAAGCTGGACGCTCTTTCCGATTTAAAAAACGTCAATGATATGCAAAGAAATGCTATAACAGCAGAACTTAACGAAATGAGAGAATTAAGGAATAGCCAATATGCGTCAGTTCTATCAAATTTTGAAGGAATGCTTAATAGAGAAAAGGAAATCGGAACTGGGTTAATTTTTACAAAAACTGCAAAAGAAATTCCAGAAAAAGTATTAAATCATTTTTATAAATAACATAAAAGGGTTTTTCATTAAGGACATAACAATTTTGTATTTAAATAGAACACAGAATAATTCAGATTTTGAGCTGAAATTTAATTTAGGTGCTCATCTTACATTTAACTATGGAATTCGATATTATAACATGTTTGTAACGAATGAATCTCTGGACTCAATTTTGGGCCATTCTTTTACACATATCGGTAGGAACGTTAGCAATTTCGTTTTTAATATTACCCTTGAGCTTTTCTAACGTTGTAGGCTTGTTAGCATAAATCAACATAACTTAACATAGCCTTAACATAACTGTAACGTAACAGGTGGAGGTTTCATTTTGTTGGAACTACATATCACTTACATTTCTATCTTTAGCTGAGCCCAATCTAAGAAGTCTCAGTACTTGAAATGACCAAGAAGCAAATGATAAGCGCTTGAGTTAATTTATTCTTGTAAAGATGTAAATTACTAATAAGGAAATCACCAGCGGATAAATCAGGAAATATCTTCAGAAGCTAAGTCGATTACATATTAATCAATAGAAGATATAGAAGCTCTTTCACAGTTAGAACTTATATACACACCATTGGTAGGAGTCATGAAGTTGGGATTAAAGAAAATAGAGAAAAAGTTGGAATTAAATGTTATATGGCAACTTTTCAACATTTCCTAGTAAAGCAAAAGGTAGGTGATTTCATCAATGAAAAGGTTAAGCAGATAAGAAATGAAAACGTCACAAGAGGAAGTCAATACATTTTAGATGATAGTACACTCAGCAAAGGATTTCTTTCAACCGGTAAAAAAATGAGAAGGATAACAGATAGCCGTTGATATCTTAAATTTGATGGTACAAAAAGAACTCTTAAAGAAAATAAAAAAGAATGCAAAAAGAAACAGACACAGATCAGAAGAAGGAGCAGAGAAGCCAGAATAGAAATGTTACAAGTCAAACACGACAACATTAACGTCCATAAAAAAATGAAAGACATAACGGGAATCTTTAGGAAACGACAACAGATAAGAATCATGGATTTTAAAGTCAATGGACTTTAGAAACAAGATTTTAAAAATAAGTGGAAATGATATCTGGAGTCGACTTTCCATGATCAAAGACCGAAAGTCTATTAAGACCCAGAACCAATAACGGGTCCCAACATACTGAAACATAATACAGGGTTATTATAAATGATGGACCCATTTTTAAAGATGAATATTTATTAAAGTACAGATCCAAAATGAACAATCTTTATACCAATGGAAAGAGGAAGTTTCAAAGTTTTTTTGCAATACACTATAAATGTTCAATGTGTCCACCGTCCGCTGCACGGCAAACATCTATGCGGTAGCCGAACTCGTCCTACACACGAGCAAGTGTATCTACTGTTACTGAGTGCACAGCAACTGTGATACGGTTCCGCAGATCGTCCAGAGTTGTTGGTAGAGGTGGGACGTAAACAGCTTCCTTAACATAACTCCATAAGAAGTAGTCACATTGAGTGAGATCAGGAGATCTTGGTGGCCAAAAGTGGAGAGCCAGGTCTTCATTTCCCCTGCGACCTATCCAGCGTTGAGGAAGGGCTGCATTCAAAAAGCCTCGTACAATGAAGGTGCCAATGGGGCGGAGCTCCGTCCTGTTGGAAAATGAAGTCCTGTGAATCTTCCATAACTTGAGGAAACAGCCATTGTTCCAACATGTGCTGGTCCGTTGTTACAGTTACAGATCTTTCCGCAAAGAAAAATAACGTAATACAAAGATAAACCTTTGTACGAGATACGGCACAGAATACGTTTTCTTTCGATGAGTCTCTTTCGTGTTGCAATGTTAAATGTGGATTTTGCAAACCCCATATGCAAACATTATATCTGTTGACTTTTCCACTAACGTGGAAAGTCGGTTCATCACTAAAAATAATACGCTACAGAAACGCGTCATCCTCCATCATTCCTAGCACATAACTACAAAATTCGAAACACTTCTCTTTGTCATTATGGTTGAAACCATTTATTCATTTTCATTTTATTTGTGGCTATGGTGCGACATACCGCAATCGCCTTCTTTTCTACTTAGTATTTTTCACAGAGAGGAAACGAACGGATGATATCAGACAGTGGCCCATTGAAAATTTATAACGTATTGCAAAAAACTTTGAAATTTCTCTCCTCTTTCCATAATAATATGTATGGTATAAAGATTGTTCATTTTGGATCTGTACTTTAATAAATATTCATCTTTAAAAATGGGTTCATCATTTATAATAACCCTGTATAATAGAACTCTGAATCGGTTTTGATTGCTACGTAGTTTTCGATCTCTTGTCCATACAGTTGTTTTTTTGGTGATTTTTGAGGTGATTTATTTTGAGTGTTATACCTAATCGTAGCTGAGGGGTGCAGGATTTGCTGTGATATGATTGCGGAAACCAATTTTGGACTGAAGTCGATTAAGTCCGCCTTGAAAGATATAAACGCTAAGTACGGCTAGCTGTTCTATCTGTCGCCGCCGAAAATGTTAAATTGAAAACTGGTCTGTGATTTGACCTCCCGAGTTGAGAATTTGGAACAATACTCCCGTTTAAATAATTTAATCTTATCTGGAATTCCAGAAAAAAAGAACGAAGATCTTAAGTCTATGGTTTCACGAATCGTTGTGGTTATCGACTGTCCTGTAACTGGGAATAATATTGATGCTACACACTGACTCCCTTCTCGGAATCTTTCGGGGGAGAACGGTGTCGGAGGCAGCAATAGAAGTAGAAATGTCGTGATCAAGTTCCTATCTCGACAACTTGTGATATCAATTTTTATCTGCTGCAAAGACTTATCGTAGAAACAACGATACTGGGTCCCCGGGAATCCGCATTCACGATATCACTGGCAAAATGTTTATAAGCGAACATCTTACGCCTCTCAATGCAACACTCTTCAGGAATACGAAGGAGAAATGTCGAGAGAAAGGCTATAAATACTGCTGGCTGACGAACTGCATTATTCACGTTCGTCGTGAAGACAGGGCGCGAGTAATGGTCATCAAATCGGATGATGATCAAATAAGCTTTAGATCTGCCGACTTTTTTCGTAGATTCAAATTATTTCTGTTTGTTCAATGTTCTCTTTTACCATCTACTACCAGAATGTGCGAGGCTTACGAACGAAAACCGAAACTTATTACGCAAATTCTATGAACCTTGCTCATGACTTAATTTGTCTTACTGAAATAAATTTGAATGATTCGATCTTCGACAGTGAAATCTTTTGTAACAACTACGTCACTTTTCGCCGTGATAGAAGTTCCTCTGACAGTGGAAAATCTGATGGCGGTGGTGTTCTCGTGGCGGTTCGTAGGGATATTCCGGTTACCCCAATGCCACTGCTTGCGACGGATGCTGAAGATTTGTGGCTGTCCGTGCGCTGTGAAAATACGCGGGTGATTGTTTGTTGCGTTTACCGCCGAATGATCCGACCCCTTTTAGTGTTTTTGTTCATAAACTTCAAGATGTGCGCGATCAATTTCCGGACACCCCGCTATTAATCGTCGGGGATTTCAATATTCCGTGTATCTCCTGGACCGTCTCTTCTGCATGCGGCCTCATTCCTGTGGGTGGCTTGGATGCTAGAGCGAGGGAGTTCCTTCTTATGATTTACTATTGTGGTTTCTATCAGTTCATCGGGGCGACTTTATCCCGCGTGGCTCCACACGTAGTGGTCGTTTTCCTGACTGGTATTCCGCATCAACCATAAAAGCAATCAAGGAAAAACTGAGATTTCACAAAAGATGGAAGAAATGGCTATTCTGACGACTTTCTCTCTTTTAAAGTATTGCGTAAACGAACTATGGCGTTAATTGCCTCTGACTACACCTCCTACCTCAAACGCATACAAGATTTCCTAATCGATTCTCCTTCTCATCTATGAACGTTTGTTAAGAGCAAAAAGCGTGGTGGGAGTGGCATTCCGGCTGAAATGGAATATGATATCAATTTAGCTGATAATGAGCAACAAATATCTGAACTATTCTCCGAGTACTTCTCTTCTGTATATATTGACGGGAAACTTGATGATCGTTATTTTTCTTGTACCTTTCTTGGTGAAACCTGTCGCTGGTTTTCACAACAGGATGTAGCATCTCTTCTAAGTCATGTAAACTCTAAATTAGGTCCTGGTCCGGACGGTCTGCCGGGTAAGCTCATCGTCCGCTGCGCGGAGGAGCTTGCTCACCCTTGTTTCATATTTTCTCTCATTCTGTGAAACTCTCCATATTTCCAACGGAATGGAAAAAAGCCTATATAATACCGATCTTCAAATCCGGTAAGAAACACCTTGTCAATAACTATCGTCCAATTTCGCTTCTTTCCATTATTTCGAAAGTTTTTTAAAAAATAATTTACAATAAATTATACTTTAACCTTCAACCTCAATTTATTCATCAACAACATGGTTTTCTGTGTGGACGGGCGGTTGAAACTAATTTGGTTGAGTTTGTAAACTATATTCAGAAATCCATGAATGACAGCCTTCAGGTTGACGCCATTTACACAGACTTTAGCAAGACATTCGATAGGATACATCATTGTATTATCTTGGAAAAACTCGGTAAGTTCAACTTGTCGAATGGCTTGCTATCATAGATTGCTTCTTACATTTCGAACAGACGTCAAGCAGTTAAGGTGGACAGTTTTGTTTTTGGTTTATATCAATGATATTAATGAGTGCTTTCTTCATTCCAATTTTTTAGTGTACGCGGATGATTGTAAGATCTTTTCTGGAATTGGACCTCTGACTGTTTAACAGTTCAGCAGGATCTGCAACGGCTGAAAGAGTATTGCTTAAAAAATTACTTGTTTCTGAATTACGATAAGTGCTATAGTATCTTATTCAGCAGAAAGAGATAAAATATAAAATTTGAGTCGGTAAATGTTACTTCCCAAATTAGGGACCTGGGCGTTGTTCTTGATTCAAAATTGCTCTATTACGGTCATGTTGATACGGTTATGTCT